TATGGTGGTGTGTCGACCATTAAAATATACTGTATAATCAATCACCTTGAATACCGCTGGATTGGTGATGGAGTATAGTGTCGTGTACACCATTAAAATATACTGTATAATTAATTACTCACCCCTTGAATACCGCTGGATTGGTGATGGAGTATAGTGTCGTGTACACCATAAAAATATAGTGTATAATCAATCACTCCTTGAATACCGTTGGATTGGTGATGGAGTATGGTTTGGAGCCCACAACTAAAAATAAACTGACTGAATACTAACCCTTTGACTACCACAGGGGTGGTAATGGAGTACGGTGTTGTGTCCACCACTAATTCCTCCGGAGTGTTCGGTTGATTATCCTCATCACCGCTTGAGTTCATATAGAGCATAGTGTCGGTCACTTTCCGTGTCAGAGTGTGAGTTGAACCTGAACGACACACACACAAAAAAAGCTGGTGGACAAGAGGTTATCACTGTCACGTAGGAATGTATTCATCTAAACATTGCAATGACTAATATAAAATTAGATGAAAATCGAGTGATACCGTATTCTAAGTGGTCCGGTCCTTTCAGAGAAACTTTTTCTTCGTAATCAGACGAGGGTCGTTGTTTTCCTAGTCTCATCATACTTGCCAAGCTCTTCATTGCTGCTGGAAGTAATCTGGTGAGAATTAATGAAAGAACGGGTTAGGTTTTTCTACTAAGTCACATTCAACCACAGTGATAAAATCACTCACTGTTACGTTCATATTAGTTTAGTGTGATAAATATATATATACATTTCAACAAATAAGTTTAGGTTAAATAAAAGCAATATACTTTTTGACCAATAGGGAACTGAATTAACATATTATAAAATATATTTTCGACTAATAGGAATTAAAATATAATATGATAAAGATATCTTTACAAATAGCAATGTAGATTTCTAAAAATAAAACAAGAAACAAATCAAAGAGGTTTAAAATTTAAAGATTATTGACCAATACAAGTTAAAATACTGTAGCTTTCCTTGTGAGAGAAAAGCGTAAACTTAAAGGATATTAACAAATATTATTTACTTAAAAACAATTTTTAAAGTAAGTTTTGAGCTATCTGTTTGCGAAAAAAAAATGGAACTTTTTTCGACATTTGTATTTTTAACATATGAATAAGATTGGTTAGAAAATTTCTCACTAGATGGCAAACGCTTTTAGGTTTACCTATACTTTTTGTAACTTTTTTTTTCTTTGAAGTTAAGCACAAAGCAACACAATGGGCTATCTGTGCTCTGCCCACCACGGGTATCGAAACCCAGTTTCTAGCGTTGTAAGTCCGCAGACTAGGAGCTGGTCAAACCTGTATTTCTCATAATAATAAATATACTATACACGTTTATACCGAATTTAAAACATTAAAATTAGATAGTAGTGTATAACGTGGAAGAAATAATCGAAGCTTTAAATATCAAGATGTATCATATTTAAAGAACAGACTGGTGAAAAGTTTAAAATATTATGAGTAAAACATATCTGTAGCATTTATCAGTCATCCATATCTGTGTTAACTGGTTTTTTTACTGCTCCTACAATTTTGGACAAATGCTGCAAGTCGGCCGCTAATACCTCCAGAATATAAACAAGAAAAGAAATTTAGAAAGAGTCCAGGAGGTGCCAAAAATTGGAGTCAAGAATCTGATGGCTATCAGGATTGTCTGTTCCGATTCACTTGAGAATCAGTGCTAATGGCAAAGGAACCAACATTAAACAACAATCTAAGTTCAAGTTTTAAAAATTTTAAGTTGAGCCCCATGCGAACCAAAAGAGTTTGGGAGTTCGTCATGGCACGGACTTAAATGGAAATTGGCATGGCCATGTAATGAATCGTTCAGAATACATGTATACGTTTATATTTCTGAAATTCTCATAACGGACCCCCAAACAGGGATAAAAGCGGTTTCAAAATTTCAACTTCACTCTCCATGTGGGTACAAAAAGAGGTTTAATGGCTTCCGAGTTTGACTACACGGATGTATTTAGGTAGGCATAAAAGGGATTTAGTGGCTTGTGGGACTGGCTACACAGATGTATTTAGGTATTCACAACAACAACGTTATAATAGGTAGGCATAAAAGGGATTTATTGGCTTGTGGGACTGGCTACACAGATGTATTTAGGTATTCACAACAAC